ATGCGATAGTCCTGCACGCAGAAAGAAGGGCTGCCTCTTTGAGAAGTCGTGTTTGGGAGTTTCAGCCTTAAAAAAGCCGGAGATCTTGACTGACCCAGTGGCCGCTTGCTGGCGCTCCTCCTGACGCTTTTTGGCGCGCTTCTTGGCCTCACTGGCTGTCGTATCTACGTCATCTTCCCTAAAGCAGGACCGCGGTCGAAAGCAAAAACAGTCATACAGAAGCTAGAACAGTAGGGCAGAGCAGAAGTTCATTATTGGATCGTTCGATTCCATTTAAAAGTCAAACCCGAAACCCCAACTCGTGATGATTGGAATCAGGGTCTAGTTACTCAGTAAGCTTAAAGTTCCATGCTTGGTCGGCTATCAGCAATACCACCTGATTGCGAGACATAATACTGGATGTTGTGGGTTGCCTTGATAAAAGGTGAACATTTCGTTTACAACTCAGCAGTCTGAAAATGGAATGTGGCGAAACAGAAAGCATTTTTGCGCACTACTTTAGCGGGCGTAGAATTCGGACGATTAAAACTACCCAGTAGTATTCCAACATACAGAGTGTAGGATACTGAAAGATATACAAAAACAAACAAAAGTTCCCGAAGGGAGTAGGCGACAATGGGATAATAATTCCGATAGATGGGAAAAGGTCATCAACTTCTTTTTAATGGTGATGCCTCCCAGTAAACCAGTTAGAATGGGCCTCACTGTCTGAACCACAGTCACGTAAGTCGGAGAGGGCTGCTAATATCTCATGTCGGAATATGAAGAATCGGAATCAATTGGGTTAGGAGCTTGTGTAAACGATCTTCCTTCTTTCAGGAAACAGTGGTTCTTGTAAACCCTCTGAGTCAACAGACTGCCTGCGACCTGATGTCTAATCACAGCCAGTAGTGTTTCTTTTAATGATAACCACTTGCCAGTTGTATTTCTCACGCAAGTGGGAAAGCAATGGTTGGATCTATGCAAACGAAAAGCAATCTGTATACAAGGAAGGATGTCGAGAACAACTAGAAGATGAAACGTAAAAAACGTAACTGTGTCTTACGACAGAAAGGGCTTACCAAAGGACTCTCACAGCTCGCTCCTCAAGAAGAGTTTGAGCAGTTGACCAGCTGGACCGAACCAACGGCGGAAAGCCAAATATGGGGTCCATGCAGATTCTTAAGTACTGTTTCGTAAGGGGATCTACAGCAAAAAGTGAAGTGCTGAATACGCAGAGACGAAAAATGAATGGTAAGGGTAACATAACGTTGCATGTCGATAGTCTGAAAAAGTAAACTTAGTATGAATAAAATATTGTAATTGAACTCTGGACTGTTACATGAAACCCAAACGGTTTTATTGTTTTATTTCGAACTGGTGTTTGATCGGAATTATTTGTACGGGCCATTCAGATGACAGGCTGATATAAATATGTGACTCTGGGTTAATTGACGGGGCAGGCCAATATATTCATAACCTAACACTAATGGAAACTTTAATCACGACCATATCTTTAATTCTAACCATTAAGCCAACCCTTGTCCTAACGTAACCCTAATTACTCGTCGAATTTAGCGCAAAGCTCCCCCAAAATTACAGACAGTTCCTGTTGCTGTGTCTGCCGGGGCTCATATAGGAAAACCCTACCCAATTGTTCTATCAGAATTAAGCAAAGAGGACGACACTTTGGTATTGACGATAAGTCACAGATGAAAAGGCAACTCAGATAATATAACCACCAACCCCGGCGTCGGAACTTCGTATTATCGGTATTGTAGTGTCTGTGTAACTCAAAAAGTGCGTTTGGCATGTGTGCGACTCCAACTCCAAGTGGTGCGGGAAGGCGGCCGATAGTCGCACACGGGCCGGAAGCAACCATAAGGCGTCAGATCAAGAAACCGAAAGACCCACTGCCACGACAAGAAACATCTAGAGTCGTCTACAGGATCTGGTGCAGTTGCGGGCAAAGCGACTATGTCGGAAGAATTAGCAGGCTTCTCAAGACGCGAATTGCCGAACAAGCGGCAGCAGTGCGGCGAACTGATGCCAATTCTCAAGTTGGGGCTCATTCGACGAGACCCAGCCACACATTCAAAATTGATGAGGCCGAAATTCTCGCAAGAGGTGACAATCGAGTTTGCCGGGAATAACTTGAGTCATGGTTCACGGGCCCCCAATCCATCAACAAGTGCAGAGATTTGCCCAATCCGTATTCGGTGCTGAGACTAAATTTGGTCAAAGCAAATTACCGCTTGGTAAACAGACAGGCCACCACATCATCTTATGCCAACACTGCAAGGCCAGATGTTTATTGCTGACGCAACGAATCAGCGCACAGTCAAGGCATTTATCGATTTTTTCTGTACGTTTAACTTTTACGGTAGAACACTGTGTACACACAAACTGTTTCCGCTACTGATCTGTGAGTATGTCTCTGATGGTGAATCCGCGACGGAGTTCGAAACGTCAGGCGAATAAACGTATTGTCCCAACGATCGAGTCGTCTTCTACTTCTCAATTACTTGCTGAGATTCGCATGTTCGCTTGTATTAGCAAAGAAACGAGTTACTCAAAAGAGATGGACTATTTCTTGATGGGAATACGGAAGACAAGACTACAATGCCCAGAAGACAGAAGAAATAAATACGAATAATATTTTCCCTTGCCATCTACAGCATGAAGCATCCAAATCAAACCTATCCGAGCAAGACGTTTCTCTGGGAATGGGAGGTGGACACAATAGTGGCACACATTTACCCGCATTTGAAATGGCAAGCTAAACGCAGTGACATTTTGTGCATTATCTATCGACAGAACCTTGTTAGGCATGGCCCAATTCCAACGATGAGTCA